AATTCCACAGGAAGTTCAAATATTTTATTACTTCCTGTTTGTACAAAGTATGTCAACACTTGGCACCCGCTGCGCCATTTGTTTAGAGCTAAGGTGTCAACTTGAAAAAATGTCCTTTTTTTTTTTTTTTTTTTCTCCCCAGCACCGGCACACGGGGCTCTGGGCACACTCACGGGTGGTTTTTACCCCGGGCGAGCAGGGCTGGGTATAGATGTGCTTCCCCACAAGGTTATGGGGGGTGATCAAGTCCTCTTGGTCTCCCTTTCCTCCTCGACACGGTGCCCAGAACAGCAGGGATGGGGTAAAAATCAGAAACGAGGGGTTAAGGGCAAAGGGGATTTATAAATATTACAGAAGACTGAATGGCAGCAAGAAAAAAAAAAAGAGTCAAAGAGGAGGAAAAAAGGCATTTAAAGGGAAAAAAAAAAAAAGGCTTTACACAAGAGTTCCCAGGAGATGGGCAAGAAGGGGCTGGTGGTGCCAAGGGGAGCTGGGAGGAAGAGGAGAAGGAAGAGGAGAGAAGAAGTGAGAGCGGAGAGGAGGCGAGAGGGATGGGAAGGGAAGGGGAAAGGGAAGGCAGCCAGCAGGTGGGTGTGAAAATAAAAATAAAAATATCTGGGGAGTGAGCAGGGCACGCGGAAGGGAGTCGTGCAGGGGAGTCTCAGGGACCGTGGTGGAGCAGCTGGGACAGTGGCTCAGCCAAAGCCATCACCGTTATCACCCCCTGGTCCTCACTTGGGGGTCTTCAACCCCATGGTCCAGCTCTCCTGGTCTATCCAGGCTTCATCCCCCAGGCCCACGAGGGGGCTGTCACCCAGGGGATATGGAATGCTCTTTCTTGCCTGGCTTGGTGGGGGACCCAGCCACAAGCCCCCTCTTCCTCCTGCCCTGAACCCAGAAGATGCTGCAACGTGGGGACACACTCCTGGCACTTACTGTAGTCACACCAAGTGGGGACACGACGGAAAGCACCAAATCTCTGACGCACACACCCAAAAGGAGTTGGGTGGGTGACCCCAACAGCCATCCCTGACACCCCCACGAGCTCTCCCACCTCCCCAGCACCGGCACACGGGGCTCTGGGCACACTCACGGGTGGTTTTTACCCCGGGCGAGCAGGGCTGGGTATAGATGTGCTTCCCCACAAGGTTATGGGGGGTGATCAAGTCCTCTTGGTCTCCCTTTCCTCCTCGACACGGTGCCCAGAACAGCAGGGATGGGGTAAAAATCAGAAACGAGGGGTTAAGGGCAAAGGGGATTTATAAATATTACGGAATGAATGGCAGCAAGAAAAAAAAAGAGTCAAAGAGGAGGAAAAAAAGGCATTTAAAGTTAAAAAAAAAAAGGCTTTACACAAGAGTTCCCAGGAGATGGGCAAGAAGGGGCTGGTGGTGCCAAGGGGAGCTGGGAGGAAGAGGAGAAGGAAGAGGAGAGAAGAAGTGAGAGCGGAGAGGAGGCGAGAGGGATGGGAAGGGAAGGGGAAAGGGAAGGCAGCCAGCAGGTGGGTGTGATGGGGGAGGCCCTGGAGATGCTCCCATTTACCCAGGAACAGACTAAACATCCCCATGTAGCTTCCAGCTACTCATTTTTTATTTTTTTTTTCCATGTTCTGCCTCCCGTGGATTATTTTGCAAGTGGCTGGGGATACGAGAGGGCTTTGCACCGGGGCTGCAGCTCGGGCTGAGTCTGGCTCTGGCTAAATAAAGAGCTGCAGAGAAAAAAGGGGGGGGATCCAGCTCTCCTGGTCTATCCAGGCTTCATCCCCCAGGCCCACGAGGGGGCTGTCACCCACCCCCCCCCTTTCCCTGCGATTTCTCACCCAATTCGACTCGATTTCAGGCTCCTCAGAAGTTTTTCTGGGCGCAGCTTTAGTTAAAAGACTTGCTCAAGGGCTGAGATGAAGCGATGGGACAGGGGTGGAAAATTAATGGGATGCTCAGAGGTGGGGCACGGAGCCCAGCCGTGTTTCTGCCCCGAAAAACCCCACGAGAACGTTGGCTGGAGGAATTTCGCCGCATCTGAGAAGACGATGCCCAGGGCTTTCCCAGGATTACAAGACAAATGGCCGATTCTTTCCACATTTAAGGCTGTTTTCCTGCCCCCTCGCACCAGCCCCACAACCAGCCTCCCTCCAGCTCCGGCCAGCGCCGATCCTGCCCCACAGCAGCCAACAGGCACCCTGTCCCTCTCATTTGCAACATTATGGCCAAGAAGGGGGGAAAAAAAAAAACCATATATTTTTATACACACACACATCCTTGCATTTACATATATATATATGTAAAAAAGTATATATAATATATACACAGGCATAAAAATTGCCATTCCTGCTGGCAGCTCTCCCCGAGCGAAGCCGAGCAGGGGAGGGGAGGGTGAACCATCGTGTTTGGCCAAAAGTGGTGACTACCAGGGATTTTCCGGCTCCGGTTGCCGGTCGGTGAGCCCCTGGGTGCCGGTGCAGCGGGGGGTGCTGTGCCCGAGAGCCACCCAGTGGCAGGTTAACCGGGAAAAACCACCTTGGGTTTCCAGGAGCCAGCCCGGATCCTCCCGCAGCCGGTATTTCCACACCGAGAGTTTCTGCTCTCTTGGAAGGGAGGGCAAAGGGCACGGTTTAATTTTATTCATTTATTTTTCTAAACTTCAGGTTCGTTAGAAAACGCAAACCCATAGCGTGGTAAAGATGGGTTTGTCATTTTTTTTATTATTATTTATTTTTTTTTCTTCCAAGTCAAGACGCTGGGTTTTCACCAAACACGAATTTAAGCCCCAGGGTCAAACTTGGCGTCAAAATGTGACCTTTACTGCCAACACATCTATGAACATCTGAAAAAAAAAATAATGCCTAAAACCACAATTTGGGTTTTAAACTCCTTCGATTAGCAATTTATGGGCTGTGGGGATGGGGGAGAGATGGATCTTTGGGGTCCACAAAAGGCAGGGGCATAAGCAGTGAAGAAACACGACACGGACCTCCTGAAGGAGCCTCCAGCTCCAGCACAAACATCTTGAGGTCCACAAATCAGGAGGAAAGAAATAAAAATAAATTTAAAAAGGGAGAAAACTGCTGACCTCGCAGCCCGGGATGGCGTCCCAGGGAGGGCATCCCTGGGGCACACCGAGCCAGAGCCAGGATGAGCTGCTCCATCCTCAGGTTTTGCCTAATTACCCCAAACGAAGGCACGGCCCCAAACCCAAACAGCGCAGGGCGAGCGTGCCCACGGCTCAGCCCCCCCCCAGCTCCCCGCCTGGATACACAGCCTTTGCTTCCCTATCAGAAAATTTAAATTAAAGATGGGGAGCGATGGGCCGAGGTGTTGAAATTCAGGAGGAGCGGGTATGATTCAGCGGGGGGTTGGCGAGGGCTGGAGTCAGAGCAAACCAAACGCTAAGAGTAGTAACTATCGCGCCTTGTATTATTATTTATGTATTCCTGATGATTATTATTATTAGAAAGGCGATCTGATAGGGCAGATAAGGGGCTGAGGCAAGAGTCAGGAGACCTGGTTTCTATTCCTGACCTGGAAAAGTTGTGAAATTCCCTGCCCAAACCCTGCCCCTTCCCACCGCGACCCACGGCTGCTCGTCGCAGCCCCACAACAGGGACCTGCCTTGTGTTTCTGGCTTAAAAGGAAAAAAAATAATAAATAATAATAATAATTTTAAAAAATCCAACAAAAACCCAACAGCATCGCATCGCCTGGACGCCAGCTTTGCAAATCCAGCCCGGCAGCTCCACAGGCTCCTGTAAATCCTCTCGTGCTCCAAAATAAAAATCAAGGGGGAAGAAAAATCCAACAAGCCCCAAAGCAAAGCAAAGCAAAGCAAACCCCCCCCTCTCGCCGAGGCAACAGCCTCCACCTGGCCCCACATCAAGGGGCGCCGATGGCCCCACGACAGCATCAACAGAAAATATTTTCTGAAGCATATTTAGAAGGATCAAACTGTTTCCCTTCAATTTGGGCACTGACAGCTTTACACGCAAAGGGAACAAACTCCGCTTTATGGTCCCCGGGGTGGTGCTGGGCGAGCAGGAAGGTGAAGCTGGAGTGAAAAAAGAACAGAGGTGGAGGCTCTGGGGATGAGATCTCGTGGCACAGGGGGTCCCACCGAGCAAATAACATGGATGGGAAGAGGAAATTCTTCCTGGAGAGATCACCAGAGCGTTTCCCCAGGCTCCTGGGATGGCAGGAGGTGCCGAGGTGAACTCAACCCAGCCCCGTGCTGAGCACCAACCTTCTTCTGCAAAGAACCTCAACCGAGAGGCCCCATCCTGCAGCCACCCAGCCCAGCCCACTCCATCAAAACAAAAACGACGTTTTCTTGCGGTTGAATCGTCTCTTTGGTTTCTCTCAAAGCAACACAGTACCCCTCACCACCACCACCACCACCCACCCCCGGCCGTGGGCGCTGCCAACCCGGAGCCTTTTGACAACCCGAAAGCGAAACCTCCACTAACCAAAAGGGGAAGGTGCTCTCCGAGCCCTCCTGGGCCCGTCCCGACAGACAGGCAAATAAAAGCACAGTACGGAGGAAACCTGCAAATTTTTTTAGCTTAATAACCAGCAAGTCAGCCCCTGAAGCCAGGCACGGCATCTCTGGCTTCCTAACCCTCCTAAAAAAATGCCCCGAGCACCACCGGATTGGGATCCTCTGTATTTTTGCTGCTGAAGCTTAATGCCTTTTCCCTACATCCCAACCACCGCGCGGACCGGAGCTATAAAACCATCCCAACGCCGTGGGATACGGAGCACGACGAGAGCGGGGACACGCGCCACGTGGAGAAAATAAGAAAATAAAAAAGAAAATAAAAGCAGCCCAGCGGTGCCCACCTCGGGGCTCGTTTGGCCACGCCAATGCCAGCTCGTTAGCCCTGTGCCCTGCAAACGATGCTGGCCACCGGCTGGCTTTGCCCGGCCACGGGGGCATCCTGCATCCTTCAGCCCCCCCACATCCCCCCCCCCGTGCTTCTCAGTGCCAACCAAATAAAATATCTCACTTACTTCGCGGCTCCCGGGGTCCATCCACGGTGACTTTAATGGCTCGGTGATAGGTGGCAACTTGGGTGGGGTTGGTGAACACGGTGATGGTCAGGGTGAAGCTTTTTCCTAAGGATTTTGGGGGGGAGAAAGGGGGGGATGGAAAGAGAGAAATGAAGATATTCAGTTATTCACGCCAGCTCAGCTCTTGTGGGAGCGAAAAGGCTCCTGCTGGAGCAAACTCAAACACAAATATCCCCCGTCCACCCAACTCCAACACACACATCATTTAATTTTATGAGACATTATGGCCCAGACACAAAGCTGGGCCGGCTCCCGCTGGGGATCAGCTGGCTGCGGCAGAGAGAGGCTTGGACCCGGTTCAGGGCAGGAGCCAGGACCTTCTTGGATGCAAAAGTCACTTGTCCCCCCCCCTTCCCTCCCCCAGCCCTGTCCCCATATCGACCCCTCCACCCGCAGCAGCTTCCTGGTGCTTTCCCGCTCGAATGCTTCCCCTTTTCCCAGGGGAATCCAGCCCTGAAATGCAGCTCTGGACGAGGGACTCCCTCTGCCAGGGATGGATTTAGGTCCTGGCACCCCCAGGGATGGATTTAGGTCCTGGCACCCATGGAAACGCTCCTGCGGGAGCAAGCTGGTGAGATGGCATGGGTCTGCAGGTGATGGGTGCTGCAGATGGTGGCTTTGGTCGCCCCTGGATGCACCCCCACGGGGACGTTTGGAGGGGAGCTGTGCCGGGCTCTCAGCACCCAAAACCCACGTACAGGAGCCAGAAATTGGAAATTGCAAAATGGGAACTGAATCCAGGCAGCATCAGCCACCAGAAGTGGCCACCAGAAGGACAGGTGGCCCCACTGGCTGCAGGGACTGTCCCTCTCTCCCAGCCCTGACCAGAACAGCAGGAATCAGCTGCTGGAAACGGGTTTGGATACTGTCACGAGGGGCTTTCAGGGATGCTTTTGAAGGACCAAGCTTGTCCTTTTCCCCCTGGATGCACCCACACTGGGACATTTGGAGGGGAGCTGCACCGGGCTCTCAGCACCCAAAACCCACGTACAGGAGCCAGAAATTGGAAATTGCAAAATGGGAACTGAATCCAGGCAGCATCAGCCACCAGAAGTGGCCACCAGAAGGACAGGTGGCCCCACTGGCTGCAGGGACTGTCCCTCTCTCCCAGCCCTGACCAGAACAGCAGGAATCAGCTGCTGGAAACGGGTTTGGATACTGTCACGAGGGGCTTTCAGGGATGCTTTTGAAGGACCAAGCTTGTCCTTTTTAAAAAAAAAAAAAAAAAAAAAAAATTTTTAAAAAAAAAGGGTAAAGCAATAAAAAGCTCTTGGGAGCCCAGTTTGGCAAGAACACAAGAGTGACCCCTTGCTCCTCCAGAAAACTGCCTTCCATCCACAGCCCAAAACTGCTTTTGGCATCATGTGGGGGGTTACCACCCCTGCACCCGTGTCCCACCCTGCTCTGCTCTCCTCACCCCGACCCCAAACCCATTCCCCTCCCTCACCATCCTCATCCCGGAGCCGCTGCCCTCTCCTTGCCCGACCTTGGCCGGAGTGTGGGGAGAAAACCACCCCAACCAACCCCCCCAGAGCAACCACTGTGGGATTTTCAAAGGTATTGTGTATTTCCGAGGTCCAGACCCCAGCAGGAATCAGGCTGGGAATGCCCGTGCCATCGCCCTTCGCTCTCCTCCAGCTTGGATTTGACAAACGCAATCAGAAACCACCTCCTTTCCCTTTTTTTCCCCCTAAAGAATGAAGGGTTTTCAGGTCCCAACCATCATCTACCTCCAGGGTTGGACTGGAGAATACCCGCAGCAAAACAAACCAGCGTTTATACAGCTACAAGGGGAAAAAAAAAAAAAAAAAAAAAAAAAAAATAAATTATCTCCTCCGGAGAACATCCTGCAATTATCCCAGGTGGGCGAGTTTCTCTACGGGAGCAGCGTGGAGGGGGGGGGGTTGTGGGGGGTGGAAATGCCGGCTTTAAATCAGACAGTGAATGCAGGGAAGTTATTTCACGTGGAGAATAAAAAATAAGAATAGTAAAAAAATCAATCCCTGCTCTACCTCAGCTTTCAAACGCTGCACAAACCTTCAGCCGATTTTTCTGCACAAAAAGGAATATTTTTAAATTTTTTTTTTTTTTTTTTTCCCTCCCCGGGACCAGTAGTTTCCAGCAGGATGATCTTTCTGTTCCTTTGTTTCACAAAGTCAGGCTGTGAGACTGCAGGTAAAAATTCAGTTTGGGGAATGCATTCTTATTATTTCTCAATAAATACTTTATGCGTCTCATTCCACGTCCAGCAGTACTCCGGTCACAGGGGTTAATAACAGAAGTCCCCAATTATGGATGGTGGCTGGTTGCTTTAGGCTTTACAGCCTTAGTAGTTCTCCCTGTGGTTGCCCCAAGATGACATAAATATGCTGTAAGTGCCCTTATATTCAAATATACTTTGACTTTGCAGCAGAGAGCAGCATTTGTTAAGATAACAGTGTGGATATATTTCAAATAGTAGAAAGTGTCTTTCAAGTTCACACAGATTTATGTTGAAGCACATTTTTTTTTTTTTTTTTTTACCCTCCCAGGGAGAATTTTAACCCCCCGGGGCGGGGGGAGCGGTGCCGCCGCAGCCTGCGGAGCCCCCGGGGCTCCCGCACGGCCACCTCCAAACCATCCAACACCGGGATTCGTTTGGCAAAAAAATTTTAAAAAATAAAAAAAAAATAAAAAAAATGAGGATTATGAGGAGCAATTATTTAGGAAATTGCACGGGGGAGGGAATTCCTTTCGGCTTGGGAGACACACAGCCCTCCCCCGCATCAGAGGAGCCGAGCCCAGCTCCGGCTCCTCTTCTTACTACTACATCTCATTTATTATTATTATTATTTTTAATTTTTTATTCTCCACGTGAAATAACATCCCTGCATTTCACTTCCCCCCCCCTCCCCGCGATATACCAGTATCTCCAGGGAGCACGGGCCGTTTTTGCGCCCCCGAGCAGCTCTCAAAAAAAAATAATAAAAAAACCTCCTCCCATGAATCGAAAACGACAATTATTACTCAGCATCATTTTTTTACTCATTTCCCGCCTTCTCAGGAAGCCGGGGCTGAGGTTATATTCATTCCCACCCTCCCCCGGCCCCAGCCGCCTCCGTGGGGCAGGATCCCAGCTCCGGGGGGGGGTTTGGGAGCTCCCTGAATATTCCGGGGGGGGGGAAATATTCCAGCCGGGAGAGCAGGCTGTGGGGTGCAGGGGGCATCGCTTTTAATTTATACAGTGCCATCTGAGCAGAAAAGGTGGGGTTTTTTTGTTGGGTTTTAATTTTTTTCGGGGGGGATGTCTTTTGTCGTGTTTTATTTTATTTATTTTATTTTTAGAGCAAACAGGGGGTAACTGATCCTTCTCCCCTCCGCATGAAAATGGTAATTTTGGAGAGGGAGGGTAAGGACCTGCTCTTCCCAACTCACAGCGCCGGGGAACCATCCCAGACGCGTTAATAGTTAAAAAAAAAAATTAAAAAAAATCCCAATTCTGAACCATTTCAGCTTATGGGTTGTTTTTTTTTTTCTTTTTTTTTTCTTTTTTTTTTTCTCTCAACACGAGGTGCCTGTTTACAGATCCACGCGTCCACACTCGGGATTTACACAAACATTTCTCCAACACACACACACACTGAGCTCTGCTCCAACAAATCTTGCGCCGCATCCAAATCTCTGCCAGAATAAACGAAACCGGCACCGGGGGTTGAGAAATTAAGCCAAACGGGGGGGAAAGCAAGCGTGACACCCAGAATAAAAATTCAATAGAAACGAGGTTTGGTTTTTTTTTTGCCCCAAACACTAATTTAGGTGTTAAAGAGCCCTTCTCGCCGGGAAAACGCGGCCGGACGCGGGGATCTAAGCACACGCTTAAAGCTGCGAGAAAAAACCCCACCGAGCCGCCTTCACGCCAGGGAGCCCCGATGGGGTTATTTCTCTGTAAATATTACAAAGCCTCGTCCCACAATAATATATTTTTTAAAAAAATCAACTATCTCCTCGCTTCGAAGCCCGTTAGAGGCAGCGGGGGTGTTTCCCCACTGCTGTAATGAGTATTTGCCAGGGCTCTGCCGGAGGAAGGTGAGTGACTATTCACCCAAGGGCTTTCCCTGAGACTGTAAAAACTACTGTTAATTCAGAGCTCGGGACAGCAGAGGAGGAAAGTTAATAATGAATTCAAGAGTCAAGCTGAGATTGGGTTGCATTCAGTTTGGAAATTTGTGTAAGGAGCATTTAAAAAAAAAAAAATAATAAAGCCAGCAAGAAAAGAGCCTAAGAGAATAATTGATTACAGAAATGAAAGCTTAATTCATAAAAGAAAAACATTTTCCATCCATCAACCTGCAACCAGTTAAGTGGAGAGTTTTAAAGAAACTGCAACATGGAGAAGGAGCCAACAGGAAAAAGGAAATGTATGAAAGAATGTAAACTATTCAAGTTTCATAAAGAGGAACAAGTAAACAGTTATTACATGCAAATAATTCCTAACATCACTGCTTTTAATTAATGCAGAGAAGTCAGAATATATCTGACATTGTGCGTATACATTCGAAGCCTTTGAGAACACGCTACCATAGGGCCATTAAAAGAGGGTATTCTTATTTTTGGTTAGATGAACAATTAAGTGCTTCGATCTGCAGCGTTTATTGGTGCTGAAATGCTGAAATTCTATTTATACTCTTTGAAATTCAGGTCCGGTGGGGCCGGGAGGCGGGAGGGAAGGGCTCTGCCCCGACACCCGCTGGCGCTCGGGATTTCCAGGGGATTTATTTCCCTCTCCTGGGATGGCACAGCCCCATTTCCTTGACGGTTTGTTTTGAAAAAAACCAGCAGCGTAAATCCCTTTAAGGCTAAACGATAGCGCCAACCTTTACGGCCAGAAAGGAAAATTGCTCTCCCGCTTTTCCACACAACGAGAGAGAGGAAAACGAGCGAATCTTCCCCAAAAAGCACCCGCACCTCCCGATGGAAACCAGCCTTTCTGCGCCCACCCCGTACCGAGCACCGGGTGATTATTCTCATTTAAACACTTGATTATTTTTTTTTTCTCCATTTAAAAACGAGCTGCCGGGGGGGTTTATTGCCCTTGAGCCGCGTTCACCTGCACCGAGCCGGGGAGAGAAATTCGGGAGGATTTGGGCTCAAGCACCCGCACCTGAGACGGTTTCACCACCGCAGAGGTTTTACAAGGAGGTTTGAGGTTTGGGTTTTGTTATTTTGGTTTTTTTTTTTTACTCCTACCCGTCCTTTTCCAACACCTTGGCAGAGGAAAATCCCCGGGAGGAGCGGGGAGAGCGGAGCCGCCGGGGCTGCTCCCGCATCCCGCATCCCACCTCCCGCATCCTTCTCATCTCCGGGGCTGGGGGGGTTCCCCCCTGCGTGAACAAGCCCAGCCCGCAGCAACGAAACCATCGGCCCCGCGAGAAATACCCCGTTAAAATAAAATAAATCAATAAATCAAAAAAACTCCTTTTTTTTCTTTTTTTTTTCTTTTCCCCCTTTTTTTTTTTCCTTTTTTTTTTTTAATTTCTAAAAAAACCAAATAAAAAGGCCAACCGTTTCCTGGCCGGTACCTACCCCTGCCGCTTCTCCCAACAAATCTGAGGTCGTTAAATCTCGCTACTTGATTTTTCATCACGGCGGAGGCGTTGCGGAGCTCCGCCGAATAGTTTTCGTCGTTCCCCGCCATCACCGTGACCACCGTCCCGTCGGGGACGTCGCCGAGGGCTACGACCTGGGCCAGGGAGGAGAAGATTTTAGGCTAAAATTAACCGCTATCGGACCTAACCTACTTTACGGTTCCCCCCCCCCCCCCG